GTGCGGGCCTCGAGCTGCAGGTCGTCGTCCAGCGTCTGCGAGCAGCTGAGCAGGGGCCTCGGGTGCCCCATCTCCAGTCCCCCGGCGCCCTCAGGCCACGCCAGGCCCTTCAGCGCCTGCCCGGTGGCCTTGCGAATGAGCTCCAAGTCGCTGAGGACCACGCAGAGCTGGGGAGCATAAGGGACAGGGAAGATGGGCGGGGGCGCAAACTCACCCGCACCCCAATCCGCCCCCGTTCCTCCGAGGTCACTCACTGCCTCGGCCGCCGTCCCAGGCTGCATGTCCACCTTCCTGCGCAGTAGCCCCGTGTAGAAGAGGGCGGCCTCGCACAGATCCTGCAGTAGAGGGGACGCGGGACTGGGCGCTGCAGCCGCCTCCCCGGTCCTGTCGCCTGTGCCCTACCCCTCCCTGCCGCCCGCCTCCGCAGCGCACCTGGCCCAGCTGGGCGCCCAGGACCTGGGCCTGGGAGGGGTCCGGCCACGCCAGGCGCAGCCAGAGCTCCTGCATGTGGCTGAAGCAGAGGCCCGCGGTGGTGGCCGAGCCACTGTGCTTGGAGGTGGGGTCCACGGGCTCCAGCTGCAGAGCAAAGGGGCCGGGTTGCTGCAGGCGCCAGGGAGCCCCACCTCGGCGGGGCGGCACCCACTCACCGTGTCCATGTCCACGGCGCTCTGCAGCCGCCACCGGGTCTGGTCCCGCAGCGCCTGCAGCCACAGCTTGATGGCCGGCAGGAAGGGCACATGGATGCTCGCCAGGGCCAGGGAGCGGCTGTCCCTGTGGGACAGGCGGTCAGCAATAAAGAGTGCGCATGCACAGCCCTGGGGGGTTGGGGCGGGCGTCCGGGAAGCCCCCCCCTAACAGCTTCAGGGCAGGTGGAGGGAAGGCACCCACTGGCCGGGGACGCTGTTACAGAGACGCTGGGTGTCTGCCAGGGTCAGATACAGCTCAAAGAGCCCCGTGGCCACCTCCGGCATCATCTTGGGACTCAGCTCCTCCAGCAGCAGGCACGCCTCCTCGGCCACCTGCGCGGGAGGGCGGGGTCAGCGCTGGCCACCCGGGGGCCACCCCCCGCCCAGCGGGACGCCTGGACCAAGGTTTCTCCTCACCAGACGCTCCAGCTGCCAGGAGGTGAGGGTGAAGAAGTCCACCTTCAGGAGACTGCAAAGGAGGCTGTCACCTCAGCTCGGTGTCCCGGCTGACTAGCCCCGCCCCCAGCTTCTGACCCCCTCGCCGCACCGCCCACCTGTGGAAGAGGCTGGCATAGATGCTGTCGGCGACTTGCAGGTCCGCGTAGACGGCGTCGGCCAGCTCCACCAGCCCTGGGAGGCGCTGCGGCGCCGGCTGCAAGAGAGGCCCATTCGTCCCCCGTGCGCACGACCCGCGGCCCGACCCGGCCCGCCGCGCCCGGCGCAGCACCTGCTCGCGGGGACTCTTCGCGGCTAGGAGCTCGGCGAACCACTCACAGGTGCCTCTCTGCAACGGAAGCCACGTGGGCAGCATGGGCGGGGCAGGAGCGGTCAGCGGGTTGGGTCAGGGCCAGGAACCCCCACCCCTTCACGCCCCGGGTACCTTCAGGGTGGCCGCGATGTCCAAATTCAGATCGTTCTCGAAGGGGCAGGTCTTAAGGGAAGCCTGGAAGAACTGGAGCTTGCCCAGACACCTGGGTGAGCGGACAGCGGGGCGCTGCTGACTGGGGGCCGCCCCTGCCCCGTCCTCTTGCCTTCCCTCTCCTGGGCCCACCCGCAGGCACCTACTTGAGCAGAAGCTCCAGGCGGGAGACAGCAGTGCTGTTGGTGGCTGGAAAGTAGCTCCGGAGTCTGCGCAGCAGCCGCAGTGCAAATTCGGAAAACGCCAAGAAACTGTCAGCCAGGCTCTGTTCCTGGGGTGGGTGGGGGAGTCGAGGGAGAGCTAAAGCCCCTCAGTGGGACCCCCACTGTCATCCACAAGCACCTTCCCTTTCCATGCCTTGCCTCCCACCCCAGGCAGCTGCAGCACCACCCCACTCAGCCTTCCGACTCATGCATCCCGGTGTACCCCAGGGTCTCCCCTCCAGCAGCTGTCCCTGAAACCTGAGCAGCCTTGCCTGACCTGTGGTGCTGCTGCTGGGGCATGGCCGCCTTCCCCTGGGGCCCATCCACACAGTGGGCCGAGTCCAGCCATTGGTGCCCACCTGCTCCTGGGGCAGTGAAGCAGCCTCCTCCCACAGTGCCTGCATGTCCTCCAGTAGTCCCAGCAGGTAGCCATAGTCCAGGGAACGAGTCTGGTGGTGGCGGCTGCTGACCTGCCAGTGCCTGTGGGGGCTGGACCAGTCAGGGAAATGTCGTCCAGGCCGGCCCCTGCCTGCCCACCCCAACCCCACTCACAGGACAGCCAGCTGCAGTGGCGACAGGTTGCCCTGGGCACCATGTAGTGAGAGGATGGTGGTCGCTGGCCCGCTGAGTTCACCACACCAGTTACTGGAGTTGGGCTGGGGAAGGGGTGTGTGGGGGATGAGAGGGAGTCCTTGCCGGCCCCCCTGGCCCTAGGGCTCAGCATAGGGGGCCCAGGGCACCAGCCAGCTACCTCCTCAGCGCGGTGCTCAAACTGCAGCAGGCTCTGAAGCAGCATCAGGTAGGACGTGAAGCTAGAGCGGCCACTCTGGCTCAGGCTGGTGTCTCTCTGCAAGGCAGGACCTGCTGTCACCAGCCCTGTTGAGGTTCCCTCCCGGAGGGGGGATTAGGGCAGGTGGGCCCGATGTCTGCCCACCTGCGTGGTGATGAGCTTGAGGACCAGGTGGCACTCGCCCTGCACTCTGGAAGCACTGGATCTGGGCTCCAACTTGAACCAGCGGTCTTGGCCAGCCACGGGCACTTCCTGCGGGGACAGAGGGGCTCAGGCCTACCTTCCAGCTGCTCCCTCCCTCTGGGCCCCTCTGCTATCATGGACCCTGAGATTAGTGAATATGTAGCCCCGCCACCCCCCCACTCACTCGCAGGGGTATGTTGAGGCTCCCCAGAAAGTCATCCGTGTGGTCCTCAGAGGGGCTAGCTGTCCCATTCGCCCTTGCAGACTTAACAATCAGTTTAAAATACCTGGGTGGGGAAGAGGGGGTGTTGGTCAGTGGTCCCAGGGAGCCAGCTGTGTAGGCACAGGGTTGGGTCCAAGGCCCCTACCTGCCCATGCCCTTCAGGCCCATGACCTCATTCAGCTTCCCACAGGCTTCCACCAAGGACACATCGTCATCGTGGTCCCTGGGGGCGGCAGGGGCCTGGTTCAGCCCAGGTCCTTGCCGCCACCGCTGCTGACCAGAGATACCACTCCCTGGGCCCATACCAGATGTCCAGGTGTAGCTGGTCCGTGCTCACGTCCTCGATTTCACTGCCAAGGACAGGGAGGCCATGAGGACCTGGGCAGGCTCTGCCCAAGGCTGGCATGGCAGGGGGTGGGGGGAACACACAGTGGGGGGTGCCTGTCTTCTCCTTTGGGAACAAGGTACTGGGACTGGATCAGGCCCTGCCATGTATTATCGCTTGCTGTGTGCCCAGGAGGCAAAGCAGGATCTCATCCCTCCTCCGGGGGTATGACTAACCCCACCCAATCGACACCCTCCTGTCCCCACCACCCTGCACTCAGGACAGCCACAGGGGGCTCACAAGAGGAAGTTCTCGTTCCACACGGGGTTCAGGGTGCTGCTCTTGACCTCGGTGACCTGGATGCACTTGGCGGGCAGAGGATCCCGGGGACCTCCGCTGCTGCCACTGCGCCTGCCGCCCTTGCGGAAACTGAAGCGCTGTTCCTTGCGGGTGGGCTCCCGTGGCGCGCCCGAGGCTGGCAGGATTCCCAGCATGCAGTAAGGGTCGCTGAAGCCTAGGGGCGAGGCGTGTCACCCTGTCACTTGGCCGGCCGCCTCGACCCCGCTGGGCACCCTGGCCTGGCGACCAGCCTACTCACCGTTGGGGTCCTTGGCCAGCAGGTTCTTTGCCCGCACAACGGAGACTTTGAGCGCGTAGGCAGGAGCCTGTGGAGGGGCACTGTGAGCCGGGGCAGGTAGAGCCACCTCCGGCCCCCCCCCACCACCACCCAGCGCCACGTCGCAGAGTTTACCTTGGCCTTCCTCACGCGCCCCACGGCCTCCGAGAGCTCTTCCGAGTTGAGGTTGAACACCTGAGGGCAGCGAGGGCCGGCTGAGCCCTCTGGGGGGCCAGGCAGAGGCGCCTCCGGCCCCCCCCCCCCACCACCCAGCGCCAC